GCCGCAAACTTCATGACCGCCGGCAAGCTCATGTCAGTTAGACTAAATTCAATGGTTTAAGAGATTGTCCAGCATGCTAACGGTTTATAGCAGAAGTTGAAAACGATTCTGGGAGACTAATGGTCGCCCAAACTTCCAATCACTGGTGGCGTTATCCACCTGGAACTGGTGGTGCAAACAGGGGGAAGATCGACTTAATGAAATGGGACCATTTTATTCAGCGCATTCTAACACATTTTATGCAAAAACGGGAAACGGGATTTTGAAATCTCTTAGAAATGAGTGGGGATAGGTTATAAACTACTTTTCTTGGGGTGCATTGGCGCTGCCGTTGCTTATTGCAGTTCAGTTCCCACTTTATGCGACCAAGAAATGTTATATACAACAAAAGGTATTGAGACTGGACAGATATGGCTTTATTCCTCCTGGACTTCGTCTATCTGTAATCTTACAAGGTGAACAAGAAAATCATCTGAATTAGAAAATTGTTTTATATATTTCAGATAAAGATAGAACGATACCAATTGTGGCAGGTATTTTGGGTACAGTGGCTGGTCTGATTCTGATTGGTGTTGTCATTGTCTTATATAAAAAGTAAGTGTATAAAGCACATGAACAATTTAAATCAGATCAATTGTTCTAAAGAAAAACAGGGTGGGTGATTCTACACTGTTGGATTGTTTATGAACTAGATGTTGATCTCTTCATATTTCAATTTTCACATTTTGTACTTTTTTTTATACCATTGTGATTTATATTTACAGAGGAAAACTACCATGTTCCAGTAAACAGCGTCCCTATTCGGTGACTCAAACGGAACGTAAGTAAAAATAAACTAGATGCAGTGGAATAAATGCATATATTACAATCTGAACATTCATTAACCTAGATATTCTCTTTGAAATAATGGCAATAAGTTTCTGGTAACAAAACAAATAACAGGACTGGTAGTACAATACTGTTGCAACTCTGTCCATTTACAATTTGATTCAAATGCATATCTAAATGATTCGTTCCGTGAGTTGTTTTCTGTTTGTGATTCCACTGGTTTGCCATCCACCTGAAGGACGAGGCTATTTAATTCGGTTTACGAATGAAACGCTTTATTTATTATTGCTCAACACTGACATGTAATATTTCCAATTTTTAGTTTGTTGACAATTCGACTGAACATAACTGAAGAAAGAAAATCCTCTAATCATGAATGGCAAATGTAGAGTAAAATCTATCACATGTAAATTTTCATTTTAATATGATTTTCTTTCCATTTAATTCTCTCTATTCCAACTTTATGTTTAAGATTTTGACGTTTGTGACGTTTGTTTTACAGTGTTTAGCCAATGAATCAAGCTAGCCAATGAATCAAGCTAGCCGGCTAAATCACCATTAGTTTGTCTTAAAAAATGTATGGTCTTTGTTTATCACATTTTCTAACTGGACAATAATAAATGATTAGATTTTAAATTCATTTTGATATTTATGAAGACTGTTTGTTTTTCAGACGTGAAGATGTGATATGATAATAATTCAATCTGAGTACACCTATCTTATATTGTGTAACTAACCAATATTTCAAAATAGCATCTCTTTTGTTTGATAATCTGTAAATGTAATAGCAGTATGCAAAACAGAATGTAAAAATGTAATCTTTACTGTGAAAGTGTTATATTTAATGTGAAAGTGCTATATTTAATGTGAAAATATAATCTTTAATGTAAAAATGTAATCTTTAATGTAAAAATGTAATCTTTAACTTGAAAGTGTTATCTTTAAAGTGAAAATGTAATCTTTAATGTGAAAATGTAATCTTTAATGTAAAAATGTTATCTTTAATGTAAAAATGTTATCTTTAATGTGAAAGTGTTATCTTTATTGTAAAAATGTAATCTTTAATGTGAAAATGTAATTTTTAATGTGAAATTGTTACCTTTAAAGTGAAAATGTAATCTTTAATGTAAAAATGAAACCTTTAATGTGAAAATGTAATCTTTAAAGTGAAAATGTAATCTTTAAAGTGAAAATGTAATCTTTAATGTGAAAGTGTAATCTTTAAAGTGAAAATGTTATCTTTAATGTAAAAATGTAATCTTTAATGTGAAAATGTAATCTTTAATGTGGAAATGTTATCTTTAATGTGACAATGTAATCTTTCAAAATTTTAAATGATCTTCAGTGTGAATATTTGAATTTATTATGAAATCTAGAGCTCAGGAGACATTATTGTTTTGTTAATATATAGTTTTTATACGCCAACATGAAATGGGGGGCGTATATTTCCGTCAACCATGTCCGTCCATCCACAATTGCTCGTAAACACTCTACAAGACACAATTCTTGACGGATTTTGACAAAACTTCGCAAGAGTGTTCCTAATCACCCAAGGATGAACCCTATTGAAATTCAGAAGAATCGAAAAATATTTAGTATGAGTTATTACCCTTGTTCTTGAAA